GTACACTGTGCCGAACAGTACACCCGGTTGGTGTACTGTTCGGCATAGTGTACACCAATCATCCGTCCATGTAGTTTGGTGTACTGTTCGGCACAGTGTACACCAATCATCCGTCCGGGTAGTTTCATCAACCATCCATTCCTGTATACACTATGCCGAACAGTACACCAACCTACCCGGACGGATGGTTGATGTACACAGTGCCGAACAGTACACCAACCTACACGGATGGTTGAAGTACAGAAACGGATAGTTGAAGTACATTATATCAAAGTGACAAGAGTACACCAAACTATGCAGATAGATGGTTATGATGCAGCTTGTAATAGTAAAGACTTTAAATTATGTACTGTAGATAATCCAGATTTTATACATTAAGAAACATACTAATGTTTCTATTAATAAAGGCTATCGATATAAATGCTTTTTTTTTATAACAGAACAGAAATTGTCAGTTGTAGAAGGTTTTGATTTTAATTATTTATCGTAAAAAAAAATTTAATTTGACAATTACTTTAAAATAAAAAGATTCTGTCAAGTTAGAACATTTTTTTTTATTTTTATATTTAAACCCCCCACCCACCCACCCAAAAAAAAGACCCAAACACTTTTATTATAAGTAGTACTGAACATGTATTAATGGATGATGATATTTTCAATTATAAATTACTGGGTGAATAAATATATTTTCTTGGAATAATACAGACCATCTTATTACCTTGCAGACCACAAAATCTCCCAAACAGGACAGATGCTTTTTTTCCCTAAAATCTTTTCAGCTGCTTTGGGGGCTTTCTGCAGTTGCCATCACCACAGGCTTCAAATGTTCACCTTACTATAAATGTTACGACTTCTCAGAATGCACAGACCACATCTTAGGCCTCTTAGTGCTTCAATGCAGAGCTACTGTTACCTGGAAACACCACCTAATAGTTGAAATGGCAATTCTGCTTTTCAACTATATCATGTTGGGTAATGGATGATAATGATTATCGATAATAATGTTTCAACGCAACTAAACAATCAAAGTGAAAACATTATCGATAATATCACAATAATTATTCTGTTGTTCCAACAGTACTAAAAACACAAAAGGAGGGAGGTATGCAGCCTCTTTAAGAGCAAAATTACTGTTATAGTTTAAATAGAATTACATCACTGTAGTAACAAATGACAGGCTGAATATAACTTGAAGAAACACTGTCTGTCTACGTGGGAGTACTGTTTCACTCTCTTTCGGAGACACAACTGGATTATCAAAATGGTTTGTTTTTTTTCATTTTAAGAGTAATCAAAAGGCTTGAAAAACAAATAGTTCATGTCAACCATGTCATCTTCCTTGGTAATTCAAACATATAAATATGAACTAATATTGCTTTCAGAACAGTCAAACTTACATCAATTGACTCGAGATCTCTATCACGATTCCTCTGATGACGAGGTCTGGGAGGCGGAAGGTCAGCTTTCCTGCCATCAGGATATGCGTGTAGATAGAAACAAGCTCCAGCAAATGGACACACCCCCTGCCCTTGTTTAAAGTATTTACAAGGCTTTATACTGAAATAAATTATACAAAAATGAGTATTCCAACACAGCTAACAAAGAGTTAACGTAACACTACTTTATTTGGACATGGTTTGCAAGACATACTGCCAACTGTACGCTTTCAACAAAGTTACAAATAATTATACTTTATGTAGCTTATTTCCATGTCATGCTATCTAATGATCAAAATACATTTATAAAATTGAATGAGGTACAAAATGTAATCTTACAGAAGTATTACTCTCTAGAATGTGAAAATATTTAGCCTTATAGCTCTGTTCCAACAGTTCATTTTACATACATATTCAACCAAGAAGTTGTAATGTTGTATGTTAACATCTTCCTAATCTTAACCTACTCATATCATTATTTGTGTACTTAACTTTTTCACATACATATTCAACCAAGAAGTTGTAATGTTGTATGTTAACATCTTCCTAATCTTAACCTACTCATATCATTATTTGTGTACTTAACTTTTTTACATACATATTCAACCAAGAAGTTGTAATGTTGTATGTTAACATCTTCCTAATCTTAACCTACTCATATCATTATTTGTGTACTTAACTTTTTCACATACATATTCAACCAAGAAGTTGTAATGCGTTAAGATCTTCCTAATCTTAAACCGTATTTCTGATAACTCACCTCTACACACACACACACACAAAGCTATTTCCCTCACACATCTGCATATGAGACTTGCGTGCCACTAGCCCTGAGCTAACTTCCACCTAAATTAACATGTTCAAAGTGAACTGCGCTGGTGCATGATGATGATGTCATCATGCAACAATGGCCCTCCACCAATAGGAAGCCAACACAACCTCCATGCACAGTAACTTCCCCCATGCAAAGAAAACAGGTACATTGGAAGTGGGGAGGCCAACTGAGAATATGTGTGGCGGTATTTATCAGAAATACACTTTCAGGTTAGGAAAATGTTAACTTCCGAGTTATTAACTCACATATACACACATGAATGCTAGAATCCCACAGTGAAGAGGCAAGTGTAAAAATTTATGTAGATGAACTCCCTTCAGAAAGCACCTCATGGGAAGCCCATAGAGTTTGACACCCGATACCAAGGGCTCCATAGAATCATACCTGTGGGAGACTACATCTCACCTCAACCAGGATATACTCTATCTTAGAAGAAGAAGAGGAAGCAAAGGAGCCTGAAGCATCGTAGGGATGGGTGAAATGTGATCATGTACAAATGAGCAGCCGTAATCAGACCATATGATGTATGCTTACCTCGATTCTACTGGACAAAATCTGGTTGCAGATGGAGGGCGCAGGAGCTGTTTCACACAGACATCACCACCTTACTTTGTATTGTGCTAAGCTCAACCAATGAGGATACTTCAAGATCCACCACTCCCAGCAGCTAGGTAATGGTAAGTTGCATGGGTCATCTGTGCTCCACTTGAGGATTAAACATGGTCCACCATCCCAACAGCTAGGAAATGTTAAGTTGCATGGGTCATCTGTGCTCCACTTGAGGATTAAACATGGTCCACCATCCCAACAGCTAGGAAATGTTAAGTTGCATGGGTCATCTGTGCTCCACTTGAAAAAAAGGAGGGAAGAATTTGCATTGCAAAGACCTGGAAAATTGGCCCAATTCCCAATAAACCATCAGTCAGAAAGGCATTTTACTAGAAACAGCACAATGTGTGCTGATTTGTTCCATGGAATTAGTACAGTCTGGATCAGACAAATGATTAAATATGTATACCACGAGAATATCTCAAGTGGTCTTGCAAATACCCCATCTAACAGTGGGCACTGTTAGAGCCAGGGCTTATGGGCTGGGGAGCATTTTTCATTATCCTTGCTAAATGCAAGTTTTTGGAATAAGCATAACCTGGGAGACAACACCAGCCACCTGGCGGGGTCCTGATCGATGGAAGGGAGAAAAAGGAAAAACATACTCATCTCAAAGACAATTGATTGAAGAATAGCAACCAAGGGAAGAAAAGATCCTGCAGGAGACAAAACAGCCAGATGATGAAGGTAATGAGCAAAGAATGTGTGGGGAATCATCCCCATGCCTGCCTGGAGAATCTTGTTCAAGAGCTGGTGAAGGTGGGAAGCAAGAGGGTGAGACAGGTGAGAAAAACGTGAAATAGCCTGCAAGCATCCACATCCACAGAAAAATATATACCAACCACAAGAGTTCACAGACTTATCTAGTAATGGTAAAAGGAGAAAGGTCCCAGAGTAGGAACAGACAATGGTGGGGACCCCAAAAGGGAGAAGTCTATGTTCAGTAATATCAAATACCTCAAACAGAAGAAGGAGCAGATCCAAGACTGAATTATTCTATAGGTGAGAGATAGAAAGACAGATAGGAGAGAAGGTACAGATAGCTTCCAGAGCAGTAGGGGTCATAGGAAGGAAAGACTGGTCTGGGTTGAAGAGTATATAAATGTGATGGAAGAGGATACAAGAAGTATCAATAGCACAGACATCCAAATGACAGCAACTGCAGGTGAGAAGAAAATAAGTCTTGAGAGAAAGGTGGTAAAGAAAAGCAGGAAGCCAACAGGGCATGTGTGAGAGAGAGTACAAAACCACATCAAGGTCTCATTCAGGCATGAGAATTGGATGAAGAGATCAGTGAAGAATGAAGAAACTGAACCAAAATGCAGTGGACAAGGCTGCCCAATAAACAGCAATGGTGGAGACTGGCAAACCTTGGTCAAGCAGTCAGGTAAAAAAAGCAAAAAGATGGTTCAAGGTAGGATGGCCAGGATGAAAAGAATGACAGATAAACGAACAATAAAAGACTTGCCACTTATGCTGATAGGCAGACATAATGGAAGGGTGACATAAAGTGTAAAGAAGAATGCTACATGATTGGTGAGCTCTGTCAGATGAACAATGAGACTGGACAAATCCCATACGTGAAAGTGGAGTGATGATATCCCTTGATGATAAGGGAACGTATGAGGTTGAAGATACACTGAAGAGACATCCCGGGTATAGAAAAAAAGGAAAAGGGGGCCTGGCTGCTAAGTAAAGAAGTAGAGGAAACCAAGGCTGAGCTGGCCAATAGGTGCCACCAGGAAACTCAAGAATGGAATAAAGGAGCATAATGAAGCACCTCAGACATGAGATGTAGGGAAGATAGGTGCATAGGAGGGTGGTGAGAAAAAGACAAAGATGCAAAAACTGGACACTTGAGAGCAAAACAAAAGGGGTCTGCTCCCCCAAGCAAATAACAGAGATTCTAGAAAGGGAAAGGAAGAATGTTCCTAAGCTAGGACAGGGGAATCAAGAAGGTGACGAGAACAAGGCATGTGATACAGGTGCGAAGCTGTTCAAAGAAGGAATCAGCATGAACCCAAACATTAAATAATCATGAGAGTTAAGATCATGAAGCAAAGAAGGGGGGGGGGGATCATAAGACACAGGCAAAAGAGAAAGAAAGGAACATACCTAAGAAAATAAGTCCTGAAACAGTGTGAAAGGTAGAGAATTTTCATCAACCAGTACGAAATTACCCAAGCCAAATCCAGATGGAGGGAACAGGCTTTTAAATTTGTCTTCTTTGCGTTCAACCTCAAATTGAGAAAAAAGAACATCAGCCGATTGGATGGGAATATAAAGTCCAGCATGCATGATGGATCCTACAACACACTGTACAATAGCAGTAATGACTTCCACAGCCAACAAACTTCCTGAGGCCACAGTAGAAATAGGGCCTGTGTGTATAGCATTGTTACCCACACAGGACAAAGTAGAAATCATCATCACTTGAGAATTTGTGATAAAATTTAAATCTTTTCAAACAAAAGCTAAAGAAAATGAAAAATCAAAGTTTCATTAACAAATACAAATCTCATCAAATTGGACTCAGATGAAAAACTTCAGATGTTCAATGCAATGTCAACGAAAAGGATAAAGTTATCACAAGTGCAAGTGTATAAGGTGCACATGGAGGGCGTGTTGCCCTCCTACTGGTATAGGGCTATTGTTACTTGATAATGTCGTCATTGCACCAGCACAATTCACGTCAGCTAGTAAGGCAGATTTGTGAAGAAAATAGCATTTCTGTGTATGGAGGTGAGTTATTGTCTCAGAAACGATAAATTTAGATTTTGTATCTCACCTTAATGCTTTTTTATAATCATCTATAATTTTCTTTTTTTCTTCTTCTGATTCCACCCAGTATTGGCTTGGTGTGACAAAGTCAGACGGAACACGGCATTCTGGACAAGCTCTGTACAAATTGTATAACATGGATATACTCAGACGAACTATTCATACATACATAAAATACATTTCTATGACTTTCTTTACAAGTATTATAAAACTGAGATCCTCTGAGATTCAAACCATTTTTGTATTAACTCAAAATGAATGTTCATGTCCTACTGATGACAGCATGTCATATAATTTTATATTAAGACTGTGTAACATAACTTTTTTGCGTACCAGCTAGAATGAAAGACCATTCAAAATACTGGCATTTGCTGATCAAACCACATTACCTTATTGGTTACGGGTTAATCCTAAAAGACAGAAATACCCTCGAAAAGCCTTAGATTTGTGTGCTATACCACATACACCTAACTTGTGTAAAATACACTATATTGTTATTGCAACAAAACAAGAGAAGCAGCCTATACTATATTGTTATTGTAACACAACAAGAGAAGCAGCCTAACTATATTGTTATTGTAACACAACAAGAGAAGCAGCCTATACTATATTGTTATT